TTGGTTTGAATTTGGAGGATTTGTTAGGAAGAGAAGTTCTTCAGGTTTTTGACTGGAAGAATCAAACAGCAGATCTGTTCTATTCAACTGGCGCATCAAAATCCATTGAAAATTTTAAATTTCATGAGTGGAAGCTTTTGGCTATTGGATTGATGGAAGAACCAAAGAGGCGAATGAAGGTTGAAGATTCAATTAATTCATTATTTTCAGAATCAAATAAATCAAAAGCGCAAAATGAATTTCTTGCCTACTTTTTTCCACCGTTTATAGCTCGGTCGCATCACGTGAGTTTACAGCAATATTATTATTTCTTCTTATTTTTCTTGCTGTAGGGCCTTGCGAGAGACATTCTTAGCCGTCTCATCGATAATGCGCATGTCACTCGACTCAAAGTTGATCATCCAGAGGCAACCAAACTTCTCTATGTTCTTCTTTCATGGGAGTATAAATTGAGCTTTAATTCCAGACACTCCAGGCGAATTCTCTTAAAAGCAATGCAGAAAATCCTCACAAGGGAATGGAGCTTCTCCAGTTTGATTACCGATATTTTGGAGGTCAGTAGTCCCCCTGAATTGAAGCGCAATCATTTTCATATCATTCAGGATTCCAATTATTTTGAAGTTCATGAAATCGCTTCTATGGAGGCAGTCGGATTCCCCTATTACCTTCCATCGGGACTGTTTCAGTTAAATATATTGCCGTTCTTATATGCGAGCGATGCAAATGAAGACAGCGAAGAATTACCTGACGCTTCGCCAGAGAACGAATTGGAGATCTGTGAGGCATGCGATTGTCCGGGAGAGCTGGTGAATGGATTCTGTTCGGTTTGTTGGAGATGCCGCGAGTGTAACGCAAAGTTGATGGAGGAAGAAGGATGGATGTGCGTCGTGTGTGAAGAAACATGCCTGTGCTCATTCTGTAGCGCTTATATCCCAGAGGATGAGCGTTCGTTGGACCATGGATTTTGCAAAAAATGTTATGGAATTCGGTGTCCAAAGTGTTTGTTCGAAACATGGACTGATAACAATAACAGCAGGATGTGTCTGATTTGCGACGAACTTCCAATAGAAACCGCTCGGTTGTGGCCGTCTCCTGCCAATCTTAATGAACCTATTTGTTCTGATTTTTAGTGAAAACTTAATGAAGAATGATTTTTCGATCTCTAAGCAAGAATTGTTGCTGCACTGCTCAAAAAAACTTCCAGCGGATCTCTAAACACCCCTGGATATTGCTGTGGTATTTTCAGCCGGAGTAAGGACGGTGTTCTCTCACCACGCAGTCTCAGCTTGCCTCTGAATTTCGGCGTTGCGATGTCGCAGCGCTGTGATGCTCAATGTCCGACAAGGAGCCTATCGTTAACCGCAACAATGACGGTTTACGCGCCACTTGCAAGTTCTGCAATACAAGGCTACTGGGAACTTTATTTCTACTTTCACAGGCTTTCTTCTGTTTTGATTTTATTATTTTGATTTCTCCAGTTCTTAGACAAAAAAGAGGAGCGAACTAAAAGTCGAACTTGAAAACGTTAAATAAGGAAGAAGAACCCTGAGGTTCAACAATATCAATGACTCGCTCGAGAAACTTGGGCTGGAATTCATCTGCGTGCTTATTGTCAATCGCCCAGTCAGCCAACTCGAATAAGTCGACAGGGGAACGGAGTTGGATGTTTGGCGTTGCAGAAAATAGTGATTCAAGTGCATCCATCTCCTCAATCCAGTTAACATTCTCACGACGGCGCCCTTGAATTGGAACAGTGAGCCTTAAACATAAGCGTTCAACGCCGTTCGAGTCAACAAGCTTAATTTGACCGTTAACGGTTTGTCCCTGAGAGAAAATGAGACAAAGGACACTTTTCTTTGTGGTTTACCGCAAAAATTGAAGCTGCCGCAGGAATAGTGAACGAAAAAGGTGATTTGATTGGACCCTTTTTCACCGGGCAAGGCCTACCCTGACTAGGGTTACAATAGTCTGCACAAAACCAAGGTCTATGATGTGGCACAATTGTTTACTTGCGCTGAAACTGTAAAGCGGAAATGAGACTTGAATTTTAGCGCCAGTATCGAGTTCTTGACAGACTTCTCCTTCAATAACATTTTCAAGGGGTCTTCCAGGTATTGCGGGATTTGGCGTCATTGTGATATTCTATTTCAAAACGAAGAAGTCAGTCTGAGGAAATTGAGCTTGTTTTTGTAAGAACCCACCGTGACTTTGAGGTAGGAAGTGTTCCCGCATTGCGTCCATTTGAATCGAGATGCTGCATTAACGACAGCTGCTGCATAAAAAAAGCAAAAAGCAAAACTTAATTTAAACTCCATTGAGAACAAAAATCAAAAAGAAAAGGAAACTTTGTTTACAATTTCGTGGGTGTCTGAGCACCAAACAATATGATCGGCTGAATTCGCAATAAGTCTGCAGATCGCTCGCGCGATTTATTCTTGATGAATGTTTTTTGTTGCTGAAGTTTTCAACATGTGAAAAACTTGGCCCGACAAGCAACCTCATCTTATAAATGGAGAGAAAAAGACGTTAGGAATTTCTTGAGCAAACGGCTTTTTTGAGGTTTCAGCGATTTGTTTAGAACTCCTTTGGCCGTGGGGCGTACAGCTGAGGGTCACCCGCTTCTGCTCCTGGTTTTCCAGCTTCGCCGAGACGCGATGCATCTAGAACCTGAGCGAGGGAAAAGACTCAAGAGGTTTCCGGCATTTGCTCACTTGATAACGAGTCTCTTCGCCTGCTCTTGGCCCATCTGCTGGCGGCACCAAGGCCCCACTAATATCAGCTATCCACGGATGATCCGGTGTTATGAAGTATTCACCCCTTGCCAAGTCATAAACGCGAGCTGAACCAAGTTTCGCTCGACGTAATCGAGGGTCTGAGAGGCTAACTCCACGAGGGAGTATTAGCGTCTTCATACAGATTGATTTTTGGGCTGCGATGTCCTGCACACGTATCGATCAAAGGCTTCCGTTAGACATTGTAAGCCACTTACACAGACCATTTCTTGGAACTCGTCAGTCGATTGCACAACAATTGGATCGTAACGCCTGTCAAGGCGACTCAGGTAATTATGTAGCGCCGAGTGGGAAACTTCCTGATTTGGAGCTTGACATTGTTCAATTTCAATTTATTGAAAAGTAAAATAGAAAAGCGAAGAAGAGAAAGCTCAAAATAAGAAACAAGCTTTAGAATTCTGGCTAATTTTTTGCGTGCACGTCTATTCAAATTCGAACTGCTTTGTCCAGTGTAGTAGCTATTTTTTTATTTGTAAAACCAAACAGTAATACCTTATATCCCGGCTAGAGTTGTAGGGTTCACAGTTACTGTAATGCTGTTTGTTCTACTTCTCACATCCTTCCTTCTTGTCAATTCAAAGGAGCCCCACAAATCTCCAGATGTTATCATTGCAGGTGAAAACACGCAAGATGAAACCCTGTCCAGATTGGCCGCTCAGACAAAGCTGTAATTCCCTACCGAATGCCTAAGGGCGCGGAGAAAAAGGCGGCTGCACCAGTAGCAGCAGGGTAATCGTCCTTCTGACTTCTTGCGGCAGTACCTGGATTCTGATAGGGCAGAGACGAAAATGGCTGGAGCTCTTGAGGAAGCTGTCACGTCAAACGCCGAAAGGCAAGGGGAATCGACTGTGATCAAAGCTGCCCAAGCTGCAGCGATGCGGGTAGATCCTCATCAAATGACCGCGGCCTTTATCGGAAAATGGTTCTAGAATCAAGAAGCCCATGAGCGCAATCTGGAAGTCGAATATGCTAACCAGTGGAAACATGATGGTGAGAAGTCAACGAGTTCTGTGGGAATCTACCCGATATACTGTACAGAAGAGTTGAACCTAGAGAGGATGAAAGCTAGACGAAAGAAGCTCGAAGAAAAAAGTGAGACACTCGGGTTAAGGTCTGTTGTATATTCAGCCATTCAGAAGAACACCAATTGAAAATGGAAAAAAAGAAAAAAAAAGAACTGGAAGAAAATGTTAGAAAGTTCACCTAAACGGATTGTTACTTTTGGTGCAATCAGGAAGCTGAGAGATTAGCAACATTACAAGGTGACTGAACACTTCTAGATGGTTTTTTATAGCACTCGACTTCTTCTAGAGGAGGTGGATGACCTGAAATCGGAAGACCGGAAGACCAAGGTAGGTAGTCGCTTAGCAACACAAATCTGGCGCTTACGTGTCTGATTTCTTCCAAGAACTTAAAGAAAAGGAATCTCGAGGTGATCCAAAATGTCGCTGTCCTGATTTGACCGCAACACTGTCGATAGAAAAAGCCAAAGTTAAACAAGCTGAAAAAGAAGAGAAGGTAACTGCCCAACGATGTCTTGTGTTCGATATAGGAGGTCATGCAGCTGAAAATTGAAGCAGCCCGAAAAAAAAGAAGCACGGGATGTTGAAGTGAGTGGATCAGCTGGTCGTGTTGCAAATGCTTTATACTCTGTTAGGCAGCGGTTAGCGAAAGGACATGAGAAGAAGGCAAACTTCAGGGAAATCAACCAACACAGACGTCTAAAAAATGTAAAAATGAACCGCAATGGGTTTGAGCGGAGAGAGATTCCCATATTGAAGCATTTCTGAGTTTTCTTAGGTTTTCATATTTTGTCAACTCAAAGAAGTATAGAACAAAATGAAACCTATGCTTGATAGTACTTGGCTCCTAGGTGCTGAAGTTTGGCTTCTAAGGTATTTCGCATGAGAATTGCAACAGTCATTGGGCCGACACCTCCTACGGAAAGGACATAGGGCGTCGAGAACCAGCAGTCCTCTCCTTACCCGGGGACCGGAGGTTATTTTCGAACATTTGTGCTTGACATGTTCAAAATCAACATCGCCGCACAACCGATAACCCTTTTTCGAGTTGAGATCTTCAACTGCGTTGATCCCGACATCAATTATAACAGCGCCCTGCTTCACCCCAATCGCTTTTGATATATAATTTGGACGACCAATTGCGGCGATCAGAATGTCAGCTTCCAGGCACTTCGCTCGAAGATTTTCAGTCTTTGAGTGACACATCGTGACGGTTGCGTGATGTTTTTGTAAAAAGCAGAGAAACAGGAAGACCAACGAGCAGAGAGCGTCCCACCACAGTGACGTTCGAGCCGGCAATCGTTACTCCACTGCGAAGAAGCAGTTCAACGACCCCCTTTGCCGTGCAAGGAGAGAAAAAATGATGCGATTCCATCTTTCCCAAGCGTTCTATCTCATTGATCATTTCCATTTGGATTTGTTGCTTCTCACTTGATTGCGCCTGGCTTTGTTCGCAAAGAGGGTCTGAAGACGCCAGGCACCCCATATTGTGAGGATGAAGCCCATCAACATCCTTCGAATGGTCTAGAAAGAAAGAAAATCGGCATCATTCTACTTTTCATAATTTCTCACCGATAGAATAAATAATAGAGTGTCCGTTAATGTGAGCAGGAAGGGGTAACTGACAAAATGGATCACACTGGATCTATCATTCTATCAAGCATTTTCTCACTTGCACCAAAATTCCATCGACTTCATCAGATTTGTTTAACTGAGCAATCAGTTCTTGGAGCTCTTCAGACATCGTTGTTGACGGTAGCCGGTGTACTGAGGACTTAATTCCAGTTTTTGGCAAGTTTCCACTTTCTTCTTCACATAGGCTAATGAGTCCTTGCGATCACCAACAATTACGACCGCTAAATGTGGAGGATCAAAGGACTTCGTTTCCTCAAAAGAAACATCAAGAGATTTTGATGATCTTTCGTTTTTCATAATCATCTCTATTAAGCAATTTTTTAAATGATGGATCGACCAACAAATCTACTCGATGTTTGACTTCATCCAACACCACACTCTGATATTATTTTACCATCAATCAAATTAGATCTATTCTCCATCTTGTGTGAAGGTACAATCACAAATGCATGTTCTGCATGCACAAACCATAGATAGTGGCGGATTGTAGCAAATCTGACTGCTGTGGGCTTCTCTAAAGCTAATTTGTTGACCATCCAAAAACCAGCAATATGTCAATCAATGCTTTTCTTCAGTGAGTTTTTTTGACGTCCTGACAGAAGCCTCAGTTTGTGAAGACAACGAAGTTTTGCATACTTTCTCTGCTTCGTCTATCTCCCCTTTAATCCTTTTTTTGGTTTCTTCTCTCTGTACCTTTGACGTGACCTAAGGCGCATCACAGTCGATGCAACACGCAGCATTCAATTCAACACGCAACATTCAACCCACCTCCTCTAGCTTTTCAGCTGTTTCCTCCAGTTCTTTGGCGTCTTCCGCTGCTTCACGACATTCCAACACGTTCTTGGGCACCTTCTCTGATTCAGGCTTTGGTTCTTCCTTTTTCATTTCTTTTGGGGGGGACGACAGTTTCAACAACCTGAAATTTCCTCCGAATCTTATCGTCCGCATTTTCGCAGATACCTCATCTATCTCTTCGTCTTCAGCGGATTTTCCAGCCTCTTTTTTCTTGGAACCCTCTGTTTCTTTCATGACTGCGAATCACAAGCAAGTCAAATAAAAAAGAAAATAGAAACAGACCGTCTGCTGCGTTTTTTATTGCAGACTCCACATCTGTTTGTCAAAGATGCCAATGGTTTCACGGATTTGGTGGAGTGTCACCTTTATCCTCCACCTTGACGGGCTTCTCTAGTTTCTTGTCCTCAGTCTTTTCCTCTGCAGGAACTGTTGGCATCGTTTTTCCGTATCTGCAGCGTACCATCGGCGTCCAGTTGGTCTTGCACATCTTCTTCAACCAAGTCTAAACAATTTCGTAGCGATATCTAGGAGGAAGTTTGTTCAATGTTACCGTTCTTTTCTTTCACTGCCTGTTTTTCTGTTATCTAAAAGGGGAAATGATTGCAATCTATTACGTAGGAACATACCAGTTCCTCCTCTCTTTCTTGCTCTATTTCCTGACGACACCTTTTTCTGGAGATCCGATCTGTGACAATGCTACCTCCGTTCCAGCACCCTTCTGAATTTAACAAACGAAAGAAGAAGTGAATCCAGCCTCCTCCAATTTGGTGCAGCATTACCGCTCCCGCCTGTCCGCCTTCGACTACTTTCGTCACCTGTGAGTTCAGCGTCTGGCTCAAGGCTTCACATGACGACGAACCGCTGTATCTTCTTCATGCGCAGCTATGATAAGACCGCAAGACTGTTTGCCCTATCGTCTGTTCTGTTTTACCTTCTACTTCCGATTGAGCCACGATTTCCTCTTCATTTGCAGTTTTCTGAAACTACTGTAAAGAACGGAAACAATATCTTTTGACTTTCCCACCGCCTCCTCCATTTCCGTGTGGATCACAGTTTCAATCTCTGGTCTGCAAGCTCAACTTGAAAATAAAATGAGTCAAGTTCAATTTCTCACTGCTGAGCATGAACTTGCGCACCCATCGCTGCTGGGCAACAATGCCTTATGTGAGGGCAACATGGATGCCCAATTATCCCTGGTTGTCTCCGTAGGGAGAGTGCGTCAACTAATTTTGAATTGAACAACCATACAACCGCTGAGGCGGCTAATATGCAAAACTTCATCAATTCGTGTGCAGGGGTGTGTTATCAAGTGAATTTTGTTTTAAAACTGAGTTGCAAATTTGCCGCCAAATATTCATCTGATGATTGCATGCAGGAAAATTAACACCCACACATTTGTGGAGCCCCTGAGGCCTTTTCATCCCTTGAGGAATTGTGACAACTTGAATTGCAGCAATGACTGATGCTCCCAAGTCTGCTTTGAAATCAAAAAAGCCTTCAGAGCCCAAAACGGCAGAGTCGCAGCATGATGTGGATTTTCAAACAGTTTTTCCTGGCTGGCCTCGAAGCTATTTCTTGGGAATTCTGCCCGTCACCAGTTTAGGGGCTGTCTATCAAGCTGAAGGGTATCCTGGATACAATTGTAGGTTTGAATATTCACCTCTTTGAATTGATCCTGATCACGACAGACACACAAGATGAGAATGTAACCGTGACGGTTCCCGTTCCCGTAAGTGTTGATCAAATAAACTCACAGGTGACATATTATCCTTAGAACTCGGTGTACAAACCTACAACACCTGATCCCATGTACGTCACGTGTATGCCTTGGACGGCGTTTCCGTATGGGGGTCCCGACACAAGAAGTTCGTCGTGTAGTCGAATTGAGAAGAGAAGGCAACATATTGGCAGTGCCGACGCCGCGTAGTGCTGTTAAGAAGAGTGTCCTCGATTTTTGGAAGGCTTAAATTCAATATTTTACACGGAATGAGATTGTGTGTTTGTCTTATAATAATTTTGTTTGCACATACAAGAATTGTTAACCAGTTATTTCTTGTATGCATGCTTAACTCTTCGCAATGGAGCCCATCACTCCTAAAGAAAAAGTCAAACAAAGAACTCTTCGTCGCTATCGGAACTTCATCAGAATTTTCGTGCTCGGCTTAGGCGTTCTACTAGTCACTGGTGGAGTGTTGAGGATAGTATACTATTCAGCGATACGAAGAGCACTTGTTGATATTGCTCTGGGAGTTCTCCTTCCAGCAATCGTTTTCTTTCAGCTTCAAAGGCAAAGCATTGAGGCCCTTCATTTCACAGCCCTAGTTGTTCTTGGTTTTGGATTTGGTGGCTTAGTTCTCAGCATCGTCTTGGCTCTCCTTCACCTGGGCGACAATGAGTTTCTTCGAGCTCTTATAGAAGTTCTCTGGGCAGTTGCTGTCATCGCATTACCGCTTGCGATCTTCTACAGCGTGTTTCGGTACAAAAAAGCCTTGCGATATCTGCAGCAAGACGATGAAGACGAACTGTTAGCCGACCAAGGTGGGAATGATCCTCTGCAAGAAGGCGAAAGCCCTTCAGAAAAAACCATACTCCCAATCGCAAACCAAGATGATTTTCCCGTTCGCATTTAATTAAGTGATCAAGTTTTTGATCTAGTTGCGAGTTTCAGTAACATGTTAACAGCAATATAAAGCTTGGAGCAATGGCACTGATTTATTATATTTTGAACACGGCGATGCATTTTTTAATTATTTTGTTTGCCATTTTTGCTCGGCCTAACGCTTTGAAATGGAGGCGGAAGCAGCGAATTGGGCAGAAACGCTTTTACGCAACCTGGAAAACAAGGGACCTGTATGTGAAGTTTTTCTTTCAATATTAGTGCTCTCTTCTGCAGGAACAAGGTACTGACTGGGGAGCCATTGAAAATTGCTTCAGATACATAAGGTCCCACCCTTGTCACGGCTGGAATCTACCCTCTGATGCCCCCGGTGATATTCGGCCAAGGATAGACTCGGAAGGTATTGGTCGGTGGATAAGAGACCTCATTCAAATGGAATGGGAACTAAAACAAGTTGTGAATGAGATAAAAAAGCGTGAGGATGCTGTCAAGGAGAAAGAAAGGGAGTTGATCAAGAATTTGTCGACTGTGACACTCCAAGTAAACTTCTATGTCTGCTGCTTAGTAGTGAGGAGCGTTCTTTCAGCACGCCATTGGCTCCTGTCGAGCCGATATGAAAAGCATTGAAAAGGGGACGAACCTCCTGACTCGCTTTGTTCGGGGAAAAGAAAAAATAGAAGAAACACCAGAAAGAAATTCGGGTTCCAGTCACAATGAGGAGAGCCAAACTTCAGAGACACTTCCACTAGACGCTGTCCCACCACTGCTACGTCTTGACCCCAAGACGAATCATGCTGATGCAACGTCTTTCGGCTTCCTGAATGAAGCAGCAACAATGGAAGCAACCACGGAGAAGCTTTTGCTATCATTTCGTGACATTAGAGCTGTAATATTTGACTCATTGGTGCAATCGATAGACCCCCACAGACCAAGATGCATCGCCCAACGAAGACAGCTTGAAACAGGCGTACAGTCTTCTGGATGAAACTCACAAGATTGTAATGTCAACGCTTCAAAAAGAAAACGTATGCGCCGTAATTTCTACCATTGACACTCTAGGATCAGAGCAAGAGCTTAATGGTTGGTCAAAACCATCGACTTATGTTGACAAAATCGCATCGATGAGAGCAGAAGAAAACAAAACCATTCGGCGCTTTCCAAAAAATGATTTGAAGAGATCATCTCTCGGAAATTTGACTTTGAATGCGGCCCGTTTGTTCGAAGAATCATCATCTTTCAATTCTGACGAAGGTGGTTGTGGCTGTTCATCATTTTTGTCGGAAGAAATTGCTGCGACATTTTCGAACTCCTCATTCCGACTCCCAGAAAATTCATAACTATTATTACTATTGACCTCTATTTTGCAAGTTCTATTAATTTTCCTTAGAGGGAGTCACCGGAATAACCCTTCTCTTTTTGCTTCGTGTTGTTGTGCTTGGTGTTCTGATTCGGGAACGATCTATTGCATCATTGCGCTAAGAACCAAACAAGGGGTGAAATCTGTGGCCAATAAAAACTCACTTGTTGCTGGTAGAGGTCGAGAACATTGAAGCTTTTGGAATCCTTGCTTGGTGAGAAAGGGAGAACTGGATCGCTCGAGTATCCTCCAAAAGGTGTGGACCTTTCCATGGTGCATCGGCTACCGTTCTGCATCTTGTGGCGTCTCTCCTACTGAGCTTCCCAGAAATGATGACAAATGAGAGTCTTTTGAGTGCTGGCCCGACATCCATCGGATGTGAGCCTGGTCTCCGAGGCGGTCTAGAATCAAGAAGCACTTGAAATTTCTGCTGTATCTAAAACAAGACAAAACCCTTCAGATATCCCCACGTAGCGCAAAATACCTTTTTCTCTTGCTCTTCCCATCGAGACACTTCATTCATTTTTGCTTGACGTTGATGGTGAAAGTTCTCCTTTGTCTCCAAAATTTGACGCTCTAGGTTTTGAACTTCCAATAGAAATCAATGCAAGACGTATCTTCCAATGAATCATCTCACCCCTCCTCTGTTTTCG